CAAATTTCGTGAAGATATCATGTCAAATGAAAAAGCTTTCCATATAAGGACTTGATTCCGATCATTCAGTTTGTATGGCAGCTATATGCTATAGTGGTCCGATATCGGCGGTTCAAACAAATGCCGCTACTAGGGGAGGAAAGGAGATGTGGAAAATTTCAGATCAATATCTCAAAAACTGAGGAGGTGCTACTTCGCGTATGTACTGACAGACGAACGGACTGTTATTTGAATCAAAAATTCTTGATCGTTTGGCAACCTTAAAAGCATAATGCAACCATAATAATAAGAGCTGGATAATCGAAATACAAAAACTAAATGCGGGTAGGGAAAGTTATTATAAACTAATACGAAGAAAACAAACCTGTTTAAGTCAATGTTTGTAGCCTGATTCTATCTATTAGCATTTCGAGTGATGAAAGTGTTGGTTAATTAAAAAAACCGAACTGGATAAAGGAAATGTCTATGTAAAAACACAACCTTTATTGAAAAGAGCAAAAGCTGCCAAAAATTGCGAAAATGGCCCTCAGCGACATTTTCCTGCTCTCAGACCTCCAAGGAAGGATCGCTAGAAAGAAATCGCCCTGACGAAGCTTATTCTGAAGAAATAGAGATGCAGATTGCAATAATCAATTTATCGGCAACATTGGCCTCCACTCTATAAACTCGCCATAATGTAATACAAATTTTCCTTGCTGGGAAGCATGTAAGCAAAGCACTCCTTTTAAGCTATTTTTTAAATGACTATACAAGCGAGTAGGTGTGTATGTATGTACATTTATCCAGCAATATTTCATCACTGCGGTGATGAATAGTTTTCGTTTGCTCAATGCGGAAGGGATATATCATGGCTATACTTGTATAGTATTGTACATAGTAACAAGCATGAATGCAAAGCGCTGATAAAAACCGTTAGTTGTGGCATTTGAGGAATACTGAATATAGTTTTTTATCTTATTAATTCTTTTCATGGCGCTTTTGTGTGGAGCATGCGCTATGTGGAGTCTGCTAGTAACACAGATTTGAGTTGGTACTTACACGCTGGTGTACGGCTTAGTAGGCACACAGATAGCTCCCGAGTTATGTTTGTAAATTTATTCGCAAGCGTTTTCATGTGTAAATTGTGGAAGTATGTATACTCGTATGCGGAGCTGAGGTTTCCTTAATATGTTATTTTATGCATATGACAATAATATTTACAGTAGCGTGATATAGACGCTTTGGAACGTTCACATTGTGATAAAAATTCGTGTAATGAGATATAATACATGCGTTTACAATATTTTTATATAATTTTTAAGACCGATAATAATTTGATTTGTGACTGATATTTATGAACCAATCCAAATAATTGGCTCTATCTGTTGATACGATTAACAATTAAATGAAATCTCTCAAAAGTTCGGTTGTTGAAGATGTTTTCAACGAAGATTTGCATGAAAAAGTGTTGAGCAAATATAGTTTTAAATATTATACATTTGGTTTGAAAATTCTGGTTAATATATTTCCTCTTTGTTATAATAAAATTTTTTTTCTTTATTCTTCTTCTTCTTTACTGACTACGCGGTTATAACCAAGTAAACAACTGCGCGCCAGTTGTTTCTTCTTTCGCTATTTGGCGAAAATTGGAGAAACCAAGTGCAGCCAGGTACTTCTCCACCGCACATCAAACTTTATAAAAATGTAGTATATCATTCTTAGTTTGGCTTCACGAATTCAGAGTAATACTTGAAAATCCATTTGTATACCATTATTTCATATACTTAAAAATACTACCGGAATATGAAACTTTGTAGTTGTGTATTTCAGAAATTGGAATGAATATTAATATTTTCGAAAAGTCGGCTATAAGAAAAGAGTAAAACTCTCAACAAAATAGAAAAACTAAATAATTCATATATGTATGTATTCCTAAACTTTCCCTTTCAACGATGGCACTACGCATTCTCTTTTATCGCCATTTGTGAGCTGAAATTTTCTCCCATTCCTACTTAACTGATAGTGAATTTATCAGGATTTATATCACTTCGCCAAAATTTCACCTTTCCGATAAAATGTATACCTAAGTGTATGTTGGTTTGAAATCGAAATTGGATGATTTATGTTCAGTTATGTTCACATATGGTATGTTCAATATAATAGTTTTCGCCCCTAAGAGTGACATTGTGACATGTATATGTTAGAATGGGAAATATCACAATAAAAACAAGAAAACGCGTTAACTTCGGTTACACCGAGGCTAAAATACTCTTCACACAAAAAAAATTGCTCATACATATAAGGACTTAATTTGGATCGTTCAGTTTGTATGACAGCTTTATGCTATAGTGGTACGATAGTGGCGGTTTCTTCTTGGTGAGAAAAGGACGTGTGCAAATTTTAGATCGTTATCTCAAAAAATATACACTCGAAGACATAGACGGTCATGCCTAGGGTCTCCGACGTTTCCTTTTGGTTGTTACAAACTTGGTGGTAAACTTAATACACCTTGTTCAGGGTATAATTAGTGAGCATGGTTATATTAGAGTTATGTGATTCGATACCAAAAATAAGTGATATTCGTAACTACAATTTACTGCAGTACTAATATAACAAATACAAAAATTTGCTTCTTAAATTCTTATCAACTTCGTAAGTTTAAGGGTTGCGCTCGAGCTTAGCCTTTCCTTGCTTGTTTCTAAATATGTGACGCAAACTAATGCTTTAGTGTTATTTGTTAATATGTTTTTCAATGATGCAATGAAACATATGCCAACCATTTTAATAGACACTATCGCACCTCACAACAAAGCAACAATAATATTTATTTCGTCATAATAGCACATTACTATGCACTTAGATTATTGGTTTGTGATTAAATTGAAGTTCAGATGCCTACATATATATGGTATGTATGTACACATGAAAGGACATACTGTATTACATTTCGAATGATAGAAATTACAATTACTTAATTTCGCTTATATTGTGGTATAAACATATCGTGACGTCATACATTTACATAGGTTATCTTAAGTTACTGCCGTTTATTCCCAATCAAGGGTTACTTTCAAACATATGATGACCTAATACCCAAATATATACGTACTCGTGCTGATCGCAGATGTAATTCTCCATGGTTGAAAAAGTGAGTTCAAAATTGCTTACACCTTAGTCTTGCAAAAACAAGACTATTCCAGTAGGACGTGTTGATGCGATTTTTCTTTTATGGATCGTTTAATATCACCGTACGGATACCGATTAGTCACAGTTCGAGTACGAGGCTAAGAGAAAACAATATACTGGAGAATATTAGTTAAGGAACATGCCTTAGCTATTTTTCCAAGATTTTTGCTTTTGAGCTTCCTCTAATGACTTGGGCGTTGCATGAAACTAGGATTTATGTTCGAAGTATCGCTTATAGATATACATATGTATGCTCATATATGGTATTTGTATGATAAAATTTGCAAGATTGAGAGATAGCGTTATATGAGAGATTGTACTATCAAAGAGTAAAGAAAGTTAACGACTTTTATGAGCCACTCAGCTCGGATAATTGAAAAGTAAAGAAATAAATGAAAGTTCTAAAATTGTCTAGTTTCCGTAATTTATTTTTACTTTATAAAACTCACTGCTACATAAACTTATACACATACATATGTATGTATTGTATTGTATATACTCATACCTATTTTATTCATTTGAATTATCAGATCATATTCGCAACAGATAAATTTTATTACAGGATTATTATTAGAGTAAAATTATCTATGCAAACAATAAAAGGTAGAGGCATTTATTATTCCTTTCGTAAACATTTTTTGATGGGCCATATGTTTTGGAAATATGTGCAAATAAAGGTATCACATATATATTTACATAACAGGGTGCAAATGAAAGTTAGAAGCAGCTCAATGAAGAAATAGCAAAATAAATAGTTTTTATTGAACACATTTTCGAATTGTACGATACAGACAAAGTTTTCTACATTCTATCCATAAAGTTAAATAGATTTCAAATTTGGCTAAAACCTGTTTTCATAAATGCATTTCTTATAGCACAAAAGTGTTTATAAAGATTTTTATTTAGATGTTAGTTTTGATGGCAGCTATATGCTGTAGTGCTCCGATCTGAATAGTTTTTCGAAGATTGTAGCCTTGTCTTGAACAATAATCCATGCCAAATCTCGTGAATATATCTGGCCTAATAAAAACGGTTTTCTTACAATAACTTGATTTTAATCGTTCAGTGTGTATGTATAGTTGTCCGATTCAAGCAATAAGTTAGGAAATTATAGCCTTACCTTGGATAATAATGTATGCCAAATTTCTAGTCAAATACAAAGTTTTCAAGATTTTTACAAGGACTTAATTCTGATCGTTCAGTTTGTATTGAGCGATAAATGAGCAGCTTCTTTGAGAGAAAAAGACATGTTCAAAATTTCAGATCGATATCTCTAAATCTCCAAAACTGAGCGACTAGTTGGCATATATACAGACGAACGGACATGGCCAAATCGAATCAGCTCGTCACGCTGATCATTTGTTCATACTCTATCTACCTTGTTTATCTACCGCTTTTTCGGAGTTGCGTTTCGAACAAGACTAATATTTTAAATATTTGTTGCAGTTGATAGAATGGAATGACTATTGTGATACGACTATAAAAGCGAATGTACAGATGTAAATTGATACCAACAGAGTAAGTGTATGCAACATTGAAGTGCTATTATGGCTAACTATATTATTGCTATTTGAGTATGCCAGTCTCTTGAATTATGCCAGTTGTTTGTTCGACTCGACACTCTACAAGTTTTGACGAATAAAAAACGGGTTTCGTTTAAATGCACTAACTTAAGAAATTTTAATAAGAGATATCTAAAATTGAGGTACTAAAAGAAAATATTACGACGCTACTGGCATTGTAATATATATATATATATAATTTTTATTAGTAATTTTATTTTTTTAAACCAACTTTTTGTTATAAAAGTGAAATGTTTCAACAACAGCACTTACATTCAATTATTTTCATCGAAAGCAGCAGAACTGCTCACAACTGCCCCGCACAATGACTGCGACGCCAAATAGCGCAATAACTACAATTTGCAGAAGCAGCGAATTATTATAAATTTTTTTCTCAATTCATTATCATGCTCTGCTCTGTCTGAAGTCTTTGGTACGTCTGCACTTGGTATGTGGGAATATCCGCACGCCTCTTTATAGCGGGAGAGCAATTTAAGCTACACAATGGAATTGTTGCAATCATTAAATTTTACTTATTTTCCACGCACAGATAATCGCCAGCCGGAATGCCAACAGTATTGTTATCAAGATTTTATGTGAGAGACACTTAAGTAGGTGTTGTTATACCTGTTATATATTTGTATTATGTATTATACATATTTATACCGGGTCTTCACATCCACCTCTTTTACACGCGCCGGTCGGTACGCTACTGGCACAGTTGGACAGTTAGCGGAAATGTAAATAAATTAATTACACCACAAATTTGATAGCGAAAAGTAGTTACGAGTGCGGGCGAATCGATGTTACTCACATAAGCACAAACAAACGCATGCACACCTGTGTTGCGGGGGTCGCATTAAAGACTTGTATTTACATGACGGTCGGGAGGCCAGATGAAGCACAACACAGCAAAGAGTGGAGGAAAATTCACTGATGACTATTAAGAATTTCTCACAATTAAAACGTCGAATGTAATGACCAAAAGCGAACTGGCTTCTCGGACCGGATGCGATTTGCACGTTACAAGCCAAAATATGTTCACTTAACGGCGTTTTGTGTGTTTGTATATGTATGTGTACTTCAGAGCTTCAGAGAGTTTTACAAAGGTCCACTTCACCCAATTCGTTTGGTGTCACGAAAATGTCACTGAACTACCGGAAACGTGCCACGACGCCGCGAAATGCAAAATTGTACTGAATTCACAACAAAGCCCCAATGAGCCTCGAGCGAAGTAAAATGAAAATATGTTTCCCAGTTCGCAAACAGTCGCCGGCAATGCGTGTAAATGGAGCGCGATGGCACATGGTGACACTGACCGTTTGAGTGAGTGAGTGATTGAGTCGCTGTTTTGGACATTGAGTGAGTAGTTAAGGGTACTCACTGAATGAGCTCAAATATTAACGCCGCAGCGCGCTAAAGTCGAATTCCCTAAAACCGACTGGTTGGGGGTGTTTTGTTGTGAGTAAACAACAAATGTACCGCACTATGATGCTCATGTGTGAAACCACTCACACACATGCACTCATGTTCCCCAAACGATGCGAATTTATTGAGTTTTTAGCTTTTGAGCGCACGCCGCAGCAGCCGTTATGCGGAAATGCACTTGAGTGTTGTGATTTCGGCGCTCACCGCGCACGCGCTTAAAATCGTTGCGGTGCCGAGTGAATACTTGAGTGACCGAGGCTTAGGCTACTCAATGCACGTACTAGTATTACCTATAAACAATTGACACTGAATGCAGCTTGTCGAAAATTAAATGGAATTTCAGCAACGACGCTTAAACTGCAAGGGTTTGCACGTGTGCGTAAGCGCATGTGTGTGAGTTGGGAATTTCGTTGCACTGATAAATTCTACGTCATTTCACAGCGCTCACATCAGCCCTTGTTGTTGCTAACATTTCGTGTTTATTTTTGTTTGCTCCGCGAATGCCAATAATCGTTTAAAAATTCCAAATAACGCGAAACAAACTTGCATATAAGTACATAATAAAAACTCTGTGAGAACGTGGAGCAATGTGTCTCTTTTAAACGAGCGACAAAAGAATAATCGCTAAAATAAAAACTCCAACAAAACATCGTTATTTGTTTTCGAGTTTTTTGAAATGGTTGGTTACAGTATACAACTGGACACAATTAAGACTAAAGAATTTTCAAACAACCACAGTCAAAGTATCTAAAAACACAAACAAAAACAAATGCGAATAATATTGACCTATAAGATACTGGCAATGGCAAGCTAAATTTATTTACAGTTGAGCATTATTTTAGCCATTTCATATAAAACCCGCATATTTATGTTTACATTGTAAACTTTTAATAATGCTTTTCGGAGCGTCTTTCATGTTTTGAAAGTTTAAAAACCATAAAAATTGTGAACTCCCTTAACTGACCTCGAACTTTTTCTTTTTACTGTTACTTGATTTATACTCAGTTTGGTTTGTCATTTCATAATGAACAGATTACTCCAGAACAACGTTCGCAAATCGTGCAAATTTATTACCAAATTAATGGTTTGGTTCGGGCTACGCTTCACTCCCTGTGGCCAATATTCGGTCAACGTAATCCAACCCAAAACAAGACAGCCTCCGAAACCGATTTTCACAAGAAAATTTTGTTCAACGATGAAGCTCACTTTGGGTTGAATGAGTACGTTAATAAAAAAAATGGTCCCGTTTGGAGTCATAATAATCCACAAGCCATTGTTGAGACACCGTTACATCCTCAAAAAGTCCTTGACAGTCACACATTTCTTTAAAAATTAAGCCGGCCATAATGTTACAGTCAATGGAGAACGATATGGAATTATGATTAATGCCTTTTTCGTGTCTGAATTAGCGGATGTTGATGTGGACGACCTTTGATTATATGCCATACAGCCAATGAAATCAATTTATTGAAGGAAACTTTTGGTGTGTGCATTATCTCACGTCGTGGGCTTGTGGCGTGGTATCCAAGATCGTGCGATTTCGCACCGCTAGACTATTTTTTCTGGGGTTATGTGAAGTTGGTTGTCTACGCAGATAAGCCCGAGACAATTGACTCCTTGGAAGAAAATATTCGGCCAATTGCTAAAAAAAGTGGTCGAGATGACTTGTCCGAAGTCATTGTTAAAACATAATGCCAAACCCGTATCTTTATAATAAACTTAAATTCTTGGTCATAACATTAAATTAGGTTCGTATTATTTCTTCGCGAAAACCACATGTCTTAGAACACACCCTTTATGTACTTTTCGAATCGCCTTTTATGTTTGGAAAGTTTAAAATCCATTAAAATTATGTACCCTTCTAACTAAGCTCTGCGTTACCAGATAACTATCAAACGGAAGGAAAATGCAATAATAAATAGTTTGACAAATTGACATTAATGGTTTATTCACAAACAACTTTGGCTTCAGTTCCTTCACATCGAGACGAAGCAAATGAAAGCGAAAAACAATGTTGGGCAACTCTCATCTTTTTACTCTTTGCCAAACAAAAGTCGCCATTTTAATGGAGAGATACACGCAAAGCGTTCATTCTGACATACCCTTTACTTTCTTCGCTTCGTTGTTAAAGTATGATTTGTCGGTGGAAAGTGGTATGTGAATCGGCTATTACACTTGAAATGTAATCACTCAACTATGTTATTGAAGAAAATATGTCAGTCACTTATACAAAAGGATAAATTAATTACTTAATTATTTATAATAATAAAATAACCAATAACTTAAATGCACTAACGAATTGATATACTCGTACGGCATGTTTGTTCGGCTATCAATTTGTACAACGGTAAGATTGCGATTGAAAAGAAAGATAACTGAACTTAAGTGTGAAATAAGACAACATATATTAATGTCTTTCCACATTCGGTAATAGCAATATATAATATCAGTAAACGTAGTCCTGCAGTAATTTGTGTAATCGAATGCTAACCACGCCCCCATGCATTTATGGTTCCTCAAAAAAATTAGTTAAAACTTCAATTTGCAGAAACAGCTAATTATTCTATATTCATTCTACAAATCGTTATCATGCTCAGATCTGAAGCCTTTACTACGTCTGCACTTGTTATGTGGGAATAATCGCATGCCTCTTTATAGCGGGTGGAAAATTTAAGCTACACAATGGAATTGTTAATAATATATATCTATATATTGCATATCTGACAAGGAAAAATAAAGTAAGGACCGAATAAAGACACGCTCAACAATTTTTGAGCATATTAAAAAGAAAACATGTCTACCTAATATCAATAAGATATCGAAGCCATTGGCGGCTAAAATATCATTTTATGGACGGAGATCTTTATATTCGCCATATAAGCTCAGAATGTGATGATCGGATCAGAGATTACATACAAGGTGCAATTCAAAAGTTTCAGGACTTTTATTAAAAAACGAATATTATTATTTTTTTTTTTTTTTGAAAATGTATTGGTCGCTTTCAAAATAGTCTCCTTCTGCCTGAATGCAACGTTTTGCACGTTCAAGACGGTTATCGAATGACTTTTTTAGGTCATTTGTCGGTATAGCGTTGAGGATGGCGGCCGTCGCCTTTTGGATGGCATCAACGTCAGCATAGCGGTTTCCTTTCATGGCCAAATGTAGTTTTCCAAAAAAAAAAAAATCGCAGGGTGCCATATCAGGCGAATAGGGTGAATGGTGATGATATGAATGTTGTCTCTTGTCTCTTGAATGTTGAATTCTGAGGTCTTTTTCGAGTTGTTTCAAAGTGTACGGGACAAATCGAGCACAAACCTTTCTGAGGCCCAAATTTTCTGTCAAAATACGATAAATCGACGCTGCGGATATTGATAATTCCGATTCCATATATTTAAGCGATGATTTCGGCTCTTTTTTAATGAATTCACGCACAATTTCCGTGTTTTTTTCGTTCACAACATCTTTTGGCCGGCCCGAACGTTCGTCGTCTTCCAAGTCCTCCCGTCCCTTTTGAAAACGTTTAAACCACTCGTGAATACGGATACGGGATAGACAATCATCGCCATAAACTTGTTTCATCATTTGATGAGTTTTGGTAAAAGTTTAACCAAGTTTAAAACAAAACTTAATGTTGGCTCTTTGTTCGATGCTCATTTTCCGATCGACACTACAAATGTAATGTCACATGTAGCGCGATATCTCAGCTGTTATACAAGTGAGCTGTTATATAAATTTTATACGCCAACACTGAAGAATACACAATTAAGGGATAATAATTTCAGACAGATGGCGCCACTAGAAGCCGAGTTGTTTAAAAAGTCCTGGAACTTTTGAATTGTACCTTGTATATCAGGAGCTATATAGGTATATTATATTAAACTGTAGTAAAATATAGCAGCGATACGATACCGCCAATAGTCAAAGTTTATCATAATGGACATAACAAAGTAAAATAAGCTGCCACAGTTCTATGCTTTCATCCCTTTATGCTTATTATATTATATTATAATGGGCTAAAGGATCAGTCAAATCGCTTGAGTCGTTCTGAAGTTATACACGATTTTACATTATAGATACTAGTATGTTTTAGCCTTTAATAGCTTGAAATAAAGCTCATTCGTGCTGGATTATATATGTTATATTTAATATATTAACCGCTAATATATTCGAGAATGAGCGGCAAATTAACACCAGCAACAACAGCGAGACGTCAGGAACAGCAAAAGTGCTAAATGGTGTGGCATTGACTTTGAAATCAACCTACAACACCTACAACAAAGGTATCCATTCACCACGACCACCATAGCAAGCTATATTAAGCCAGAATAGACAGCGCATAAATAAACTTGATGTCGAAGGGGCCCTCAAAAATTGTTACACTATGTGGTATATTGGTTTCATATTGAAGTACTCGTACAAAACCACCATGCAGCTGTGGACCAACTCTTGTCTCTTACTCCTTAGAATAATGATTCAAGAGCGGTTACAAAAGTAATTTTCAGTAAATAATCCGAGGAGTACCCTCAAGTTGTGCAGAGTGGGAATTTATGGAGCAGCCCTACATACTTGTATGTATATAAATGATCAGCGTGGCGAGCTGTTTTTGAGATATCGATTTGAAATTTTGCACACATCCTTTTACCCCCAGGATAGTTTGTTGCTATAGCTATCATACAAACCGACCGATCAAAATCATGCCTTTATATGCAAAACTTTATTTTTTGACAAGATATCTAAAGCACGGCATCTCCGTTGTATAAATCGGACTACTATGGCATACAGATGCCATAAAAACTGTTCTATCAAATACATGTCCTTATATGGACAACTTTTTTATTTGAGGATTTATCATCACTAAATTTGTCAGAGATTATCATCCAAAGCATCGCTACAATCTTCCAGGAAACTATTCAGCTGTTTCCTACCTGGCCAATCAAAATAAAAACAAAAATGGTTTTCTACCATTTTTTGTTATAAGAAATGCACCAGTGAAGGGCATTATAGCTCTGGTACA